TGAGTTTTCAACATTTAGATCCGACTCTCTAGAAATTAGATGGATTTGTTCAATTAGCTTTTCAAATGCATAGGGAGTGCAATTTGATGATATGTTTTATTGAGGTCGAGGGATCAAGAGGTCATATCTCTAACATTTTGAGTTCCTAATGATTTTACCTGAGGGAATAAATAGACAATATACTCCTAGAAGAGTATGAAATCATTTGCCCTATATAAGATCTTCATGGGTGCTCCGTAGTTTTACTCGATTTTGGATAATAATGGACGTATATTGATCATATTAAATTCAGTACGATAATGTTGTTATAAATCGATGAGCGGTTTTATCTACTTCGAAAGATTTGCTGGCCCTATTGTAATTGACATAAATTTATTGCCTTTTGCTTGTTTTCTATTTTTTTTTCTCTTGTAATCTTGGTAGGTTTTTTTTTTTTTTTGTGGGTAAGTGTACAATAAGATTATTTATCTAATCTCAAGACACTAGCAGTCTCCCATACCAAGTCACCAGGATGACACCATTGGTGAGGCCCAGGGCACCAGGGTGACACCACAGGTGAGCCCCTTTCCAATCCCAGTTTCGATCCGACACCACTACCAAACCCACAATCTGTCTCCTAGGCCTCAAACACCACCTCAAATGCCTTGGGTCTAAGAAGTGTGGCCCCTAAAAGCTTCCCTTACCGGGCTAGCCTCAGGATACACATGACGAAGATCGACCGAGGGCAATAAACCCCTCAATAATGGGGACCACGACTTCATACTAGTGTTCTAAGGACCTTGGCTATTAAACTGTTTAAAGCAGCGTTTTAAAAAACGCCGAGTCGAACCGGGCTCTCCCGGTTCGACTCGGAATTCACGAAAAGGGACCGGATCGGTTGAAAAATCGGAAATCGTCTGGTTCTAGAGAGAACCGGACGATTCCCGTACAGCGACTCGCTGATTCACTGTACGGAATCGGCGAGTCCGAACAGTGAATCAGCGAGTCCGTACGGTTTCTTTTTTTTTTTTTTTTTTTTTTTTTTTTTTTTTTTTTTTTTTTGTTAATCCATGATAGATTTTTTTTGTAATACTTGATCGATTTTTTTTGTAATCCA